CGTCCCCGGCTGATACCACAGGGAGCCTTCAGCTCCACAGACTAAGCCCCCGATTTCCCAGGGATCTGAGACACGTCACGGAATCATAGAATGGTTGGAAGGGATCTTGAAGATCATCGAGTTCCAACCCCCCTGCCATGGGCAGGGACACCTCCCACCAGCCCAGGTTGCTCAAAGCCCCATCCAGCCTGGCCTTGGACACCTCCAGGGATGGGGCAGCCACAGCTTCTCTGGGCAACCTGGGCCAGTGCCTCACCACCCTCACAGTCAAGAATTTCTTCCTGATATCTAATCTAAACCTACTCTCTTCCAGTTTGAAGCCTTTCCCCCTCATCCTATCATGACATGCCCTTGTAAAAAGTCCTTCCCCAGCTCTCCTGTAGGCCCCCTTCAGATACTGGAAGGCCACAGTAAGGTCTCCCTGGAGCCTTCTCTTCTCCAGGCTGAACAACCCCCAACTCTCTCAGCCTGTCCTCACAGCAGAGGTGCTCCAGCCCTCAGAGCATCTTTGTGGCCTCCTCTGGATCCGCTCCAACAAGTCCATGTCTTTCTTATGTTGGGGGCTATGCTGTCATGCTGAACCCCATCAGCTTGTGTCTCCCCACACCCTTGGCACAGTGAAACCACTGAGCAGGGACCCAGAGAGTCAGCAGAGTCTCCATCCATGGGGATGCTCCAATTTTGGCCAAACAAGGCCCTGAGCCACCTGACCTGCCTTTGAAGTTTTGGAGCAGCGGTTGGGCCAAACGACCTCCAGAGGTCCCTCCTGACCCAAACTGTTCTGCAACTCTGCAGTTGCTGTCAGTTGGCTCTGAAAGAAGTGGACGGATTAAAAGTTCCTGTAAGTTTGAGAAAATGGGTGCCCGGATAGAAGAGACCGCTCTCACTACATTCTCGTGGAGGAACAGGATGCTGTGTAGATTAACCCTTCACTAGAAAGTTTATAAGGAGACCAGGTGGTGGGTGGAAGAGAGGGAGGCTGTGGGATTGCCCTAACCGAGAAGAGAACTTCAGCAATATCCCACAGCCCAGGAAACACCCCTGCACACAGCCCAGACCCCAAGCAAATCAGTCTTCTCCAGTTCTGCTGCCCCCCAGATGACTTTCCTCCTATCTGAGTCCCTTTCAAGGGAATTAGACTTTGCCAGAGACCTTGGTATCATGGCTCCTCGTTAGCTGAGCTCCCCCGAAGGGGTCCGCTTGAGCCAGCAGAGCACGGGCAGCACCCTGGCCACAAGCTGCAAGGGGAGAGCCTGGCCGTCACCTCCCTGCCGGGCCGCGCTCAGGGAGGTTTCTGCAGGGTCACCTGCTCACCACATCACAAAACCGCACGAGGAGATTAACCTGGTATTACTCGTAGCGTTAATGGACAGCCATCTGGTTTCCAGTATTTCAGAACCGAACTGGTGGCTGCGCTACTAAAGGCTGGATGGTTTTTTTATGACTTTGCGTAGTTTTGCAAGCACGGGTAACAAATGTAATTGAATATTTCAGAATAAATGTCTGATGTCCCAGCCCAAAGAAATCCTCCTTTGAATCCTCCTTTGCATTAACATTAACCACCCTGCGGCTGGCCAACTGCTTTTGGTTTGAGCAAGCTGCAGAGGCGTCACCACGTTTGCGCAGTGGATATTCTCTTTGATGGAACAGTGTTATGGATACGTACTTTAACTCCCGTGCTTGGATACCTCTTGGAAGAGCTTCAAACATATAAGCCCTGGGAAAAGGGGAATTTACCGATTATGCGCGGCATTCCCAGAGGTATGTGCGCACCTCTCCCATTGCGCAGCTACCAGAGCAGGGTAGGGGTTGGTGGTTTTGCAGCTCAGCTGCCCTCCCCGCAGGACCAAGGGGAGAGCGAGTTACCTGGCCATCAGCGCGCTGGTGCCAACTCTCGCGTGGAACGACCAGAGGTGAGATGCAACCACATAACTTCTTTAGCTACATACCGGTTAATGCACGGGTTAAACTGGAGGTGCCTGCCTTTCCCTGTCGCCTACTCCTCATTTTCAGATGGCTGAAGCTAAAAGAGTAGCAAATCCTTCTCCTGGCAAGTGACAGTTTGCTCTGCAGACAAACATTTATATACCTAGAAAAACTCAGGCAGCCCTTGGGCAACCAGCTCCGTTCCCCAGTGACCAGCAGGGCTTGCCAAAGGCAGGCTCTCACCCAAAGTCACGCAGGACACACAGAAAAGGGCAGCTCAGCCCTCCCTCCTCTTGGGTAGCCCTGTTGGAGGGCAGGCTCTGTGTAGGAACCTGAGCGAGCCTCAGGGACTGGGAAAGCCGAAATGGTCCACCACAAAGGGCAAATGTGTTCCCTCTCTCAGATGGACACGCAGGACTGAGGTCAGGAAGCACTTGTGCAAGAAGGTCAGACACGCAAAGGGGCTTTGCAGGAAGGTACAAGGCCTCTGAGATGCTTCCGCAATGCCACAAGTGAGGAGCAGGGAGCTCAAGCCGCTGCTACGGATGAGGAAAGCCCACTGCTTCTCGCAGTACATAATGCACAGGACATGGCCGCCTGCCTGGAGGCCTGCAGAGACGTGCCAACATTTCACACCGCCAATCTGAACGGTCAGGAGAGAGCAGGCCATCGCAGAGGTAAACAGCAGCCCTGCTTTCGGAAAAGCAAAAGCCTTGAGTCAGCTCTGTTTACTTTGGAAGACGCTTTCCAGCCCCCACACAGCCCTACCTCTGGGCTTTCTCTCAGCCTTAACTCTTTAACGCTAAACCCAGGCTGAGCCAGAAGCAAGAGCCTCTCTCCGTCCACAGACTAAATACTCCTTGGAGAAGAAGAGAGCTCCAGCACTCAGTTTACATTGCATGATGCCTTCCAGCCCCACGTGACCGGGCTTTCTCTTCTCCTCAGCCCTGACCCTCGCCTAGGCTCGGCCTCAGCCCTGGCGCTGCAGCCCTTCCTTTCCAAACACAAGCCTTTCCAAAAGAAGGATTCAAGCATCAGCCCTCCATTGAGCTTGGCAGCCCCTTCCCAGCCCCAGCACAACTGCAGCTCTGGGCTTTCTCTTCTACCTAACCTAACTCTTCCTTCCCCACAATAAAAATACATCAGGAGACAACTCTTCTTCCAGCCCCATGTCTCCTCGGACAGACCCTGCCCAGCCACACTCCACCTGCAGCTTCAAGCCCCAGCCACATCCCTACACCGAGGGCCAGCTGCAGGCCAGAGAACTTGCCACACCAAGAAAGGCTGGAAGAAAGGGATTCATGAAGCCTAGAAGACAATTCCGTTGCTGGAAATATTCAAGGCTTGGTTTGACACAGCCCTGGATAACCTACTCCAAGATCCTGCTTTCAACAGAAGGTTGGACCCAACGTGCCCCAGCGGTCCCTTCCAGTCCCGTCTCTTCCATGACCCTATGAGGTCCCTCCCTAACAAACAAGAGCCCATCATCCTAAAAGAAGCTAGGAGATACTGCAAAGCAACTTCCAAATTTTAGTTGGGAAGTTTGGAAAAACATCCAAAAACCAAAGCAGGCCATGTTAAGAAAATATAAAAATAATCCCAAAATAGCTCCAAAACCCAGCAAAAGAAACCTGCCATGAGTCTCATAACCCTGTGGGCAAAGGGCTCGGGATGCCAAACACTCACTGTTAACACCCGCCACACACAACCTCCTTGAGGAAGACCGAACCTTGTGGCCTCTGGACCCAGAGGGCCACTGGAAGGGTAAGCACCCAACTAAACGAAAGGGAGAAACCAGAAAGTTTTTATATGATGATTTTAACCATTAGAAGCTTTCAGACTCACTTCAAATGCTGCTGCGGGCTTCCACCTCCTCCCAACCCTAATCAAAGCTCTAACCTTCTCTTCCCAGGACACCAGGCAGTGGATTGGTAAGACAAAATTGCGAGTTTCACACCAGCTCACGATGAAATTTAGCATTGTGGCATCAGGTGAAGAACCCAGCAAAATCCTCCTGTTTGCTTTCCCTTTTCAATAGCCAGTCAGCACGTCTCCCCAGCCCCATAAACAGGGCACTCGGCTCAGCTATCTGTTAGGTTGGTATCAGAATGGTAATCACACCTGAAGGACACTCTGTGTCCCCATATTTTACAGACCTGAAATCAATCCATTCAATTTCCAACAGCTTGAAAACCTGCAAGAGGGTAAGCGCTCTCAACGTCTGCCAATGCCAGTGATGAACCAAAGCGTACAGCACTTTACAGAGTCAACGGTATGGCTCATCCTCCACCGTCACCATGCAACCCTGCAAGCCACTGCGCACCCTTAATTAGATACTCAGCAGCTTCCCTCAGAAACCCAGAGGAATCAGAACTTGCCATCACGTGGCAGATGTTGAAAGCCTTGGGGAATGTTTATTTGACTTCCGATTCACTCTACTAATGATTTATTGCTTGAAACTCTGCAAACAGAGATTTTTCCAGACAAGGAAACTACGAGCAAGCTAAACAGAGATCTACCATGAATAGGGTGAGCACAGTTGAGTCTGCGTCGGGCGGGGGATGGACTTTCACAAGATCCCTTCCACGAGGTGACCTGCTCAAAGCCCAACCACGGCATAATAGCAGAAGGGGTGCCCCAACTCTCAACCTCTGCACGTGAGGCCAAACTCAAGTACGCCACCTTTAAGCTCTAGTTCCTCTTTCCACCTCGAGCTGTCTCAAGCACAGTACTTCCCATCCTGTTAGATAGGTACTCCAGACATTGTAAAGGCGGCTCACGCTAATTGCTCACTCCAAGAGGTCACATTCACCTATCAAACCCATGCCATCTGGGGCTTCTGAAAGATTAAAAAAGAGAGACAAACAAGAGGATTATTAAAAATTTAACTATATACCATATTTATTATCAATCCACAGGATAATCTGATTGCTACATGAGCTCATAAAAGCTATTTCACCTTTACAAAATTAAAAAAAAAAAAAATGTGCCACAAGGATGTAATAACTGCTGATAACCAAGGACTGAATCTTAAAATTATAAATTTGCTGTAGAAAAGATTAAAAAAAATTATATTCACTTTAGAATTTTACTTTGAATAAAATATTCCCCTGTATAAAAAATAAAAAAGCTTGCTCTGGTTAGAATTAGAGTATTTTTCTTCTTCTTTTTTTAAATCTGGGAATTTGCATAATATCTCTGTAATAGGTTTCTTTTTTTTTTTTCCTATTGTACCACGCGGCATTCAAGCATAGCAGATTAGAAACAAACATGAGAAAAGCAGTCTTAAAACGTATGAAATCCACATGGGAAGTTTTAACTTCCTTTCCTTTCCTCTATTCTTTAAAGACACTTTAGCCAGAATAGCCTTGGAAAAGAATACAGGTGGGGAGGGACCTTCAATGTGCCATTAAGTAGAGCAAGGTAATAAAAGGCCTTTCATAAGTGCTTTCTTAATAAGGTGCAGAAGCAGACTGCAACGTTGCTAGTACTGCACTATGTACAATATTCACAATAGATTTTTCTTTATTTAAAAATATTCCAGCTAGTTCACATTTTCTCTTCCATTCTGAGGCTTTCAGTTCCATCACAGCCTTGACAGCGAGAAGCGCAGCAGCACCACTTCCCTTGTGGTCGGTTGGTCCTCTTATGAAACACTGGAACCTGCGAGTGGGCCGAAGTTCTTGGGTTGTTTTCCTACATAGCAACCTTGGAAATCCGCCTGGGTTCAGGTGTACATACTGACGGCTGGAGTCCTGAGTTAAAAACACTCCGGCACTGGAGTCGGACACAGCAATGTTTTATATTGCCAAGGCTTTACCTTAGATTTGTCTCGTGTGCGTCAAGGGATGAACCTCTTGTAGAGAAACGTAAAATACAAAACCAAACAAAACAAAGCTAAAAAAAACACACCGCCAAAGGCTTAGCAGCTCTTGACTCTTGACTGGGTGATGTCTGACGTTTTCTTGATGACGCTGGCCCGTGTCTCGCGGTCTGGCCGGCTGCTGCTCGTGGAAGCTGTGGACACTACTTGTGGCAGAGGGATGTCTGGGAAAGGGGGCCAGGAGCTGTTGTAAGGCAGTGGGCAGCTTTCTTCTTTGATGGTGACTTGGAGGTCAGGCTTGTTGGCTACAAAAGTTGCCATGCTGGGAAGCATATGAGAAGTGTTCCTCATTCCCAGATTGCTGAGATACTGTTTGCCTTCAATGTTTTTCTTCTGCCAGTGAAGTCGTCCCTAGAAAAGGAGGGAAAAAAAGGAGGGAAGACTATATGACTTTGCAAAGTGCTCCACGTAACAAGATGAAGACAGAAACATCCACAAATTGCACAGGAATTACCCTGTCTCTAGAAGCCTGAGCCTCTAGCCTCTGGCTTTGAATGTCTTTGCTCTCAGCCACTTCTCCCTTTCTGAAGTCGTGTGCCTAAACCTTGGAGGGTCTCCAGCAGTGAAGAGGCTCTGCCCACTCTTCTGATAGAAAATAAAGGCCTTATTCCCAGCATGCTGGGGACAAAAATGGACACGGACAACCAAACGCTCAGAGCTCCAATTGGAAGTGTCTCCTCCGCTACCAGAGAGCATCCTCCTGCCAACAAGCAGGCACAGAGACTCAAGACCTCTCAAACAGCACCACCCAAACTGTCAACACAGGTGAGGCTGCCGGGAAAACCACTGTCACTTGATGGTGTGTCCCCCATCACAGGGAGGAGGTTCGTCAAGGGAAGATGAGCACCCAGTCCTTTCCCCATCACACATGCCGCAATGGCACATTCTGTTAAAGGAGGTTTGGGGAGTCATTATTGGCAGTCTACATACGGGCTCCAGCCCAACCAAGGCACAACACACAAACCCAAGAGGGTTAGCCGTGCTGTTATACAGCTGCACAACCTGCAGTTCTCCAAGAAGGAGGATTCAGAGGGCTTTTGAGGGGGCACAGCAAGAGAGGGATTTGCAAAAGGCCCTCTGCAAAAATGCAGCTGGAGCACAGGGCACTTAAGTGCGCTCAGTGAGCTTCCCCTGGCCTCCAAGTACCCATGGAATCAGTAGGTCTGGTCACTTGATGGCAGCCCCAAAAGAAAGGCACGTGTTGGTTTTGCATAGGTGCAGCTCAGGAAACATTCATGGGGTGAGTATTTTCTCCACAGATTCCTTTCACCCAGCAATACCCAACTGACTGCTCGGGAAAGCTTTTTGCCTCACATACCTCAAACATTCAAGTTATGTTTCTATCATACGTGTAAGCATTTCCTCCAATTGTCTGTGTTCAGGTGCCATTTAAGGAAAACAAAGTGAGCATGCTTTCAACCAAGATAAAATACTCACTACCCAGCAATGTCAATGCATCATATTAACACACTAGCTGGCACTGTTGATAGCTCGCTAGAACATCTTATCATGCAAATTAATCTCCTTGTAATTTGGACACATGAGGAGAAAAGAACTTGCAGAGATATCCATTCTGTGACAGTCACCCAAATGTCAGTCTCCCCTGAACCCTCCTGGTTTCTTTTTATCTCCCAGCTATTATTAAAATGAATACTCCACTGGTAGACAAAGTTGCAAACAGAGAAGGGGAAGAATACCTCAGGACACTGTTCTCGAGACTTTGCTCTAAACTGTTAAAAAACCAGAAAACACTTACCTCTGCATTTTCTTCATCGCTTGGAACACTGTCAGTTGTTTCACTTTCTGTCAAACAAAACAGAAGCAATAATGAAACTCGCTGTTCCATCTACAGTAGCAAAATCCAGCTCAAGAGGCCTGATCCACTTCCAGCAAGTGGGAGCAAACAGAGTCAAGCCAAATACCCAGTAAACAATGGAGAAGTATGGACCCCCTGCCCCAGCAATCAGCACAGCTGCATTGAACAACTGGACTGAATTCACATGGTTATCACAGTTAACATGGCTACACCCTGGGGAAGACAGCAACAGAGGAGGACAAAGTACTGTGCTTTCTGGGCAGAGGGAAGAGCCTCCCGCAAGTGGGGGATGCCCCTCTCCCTTGCCCTCTCTTGGCAGCTCCAGGCCTGGCAAAGAGCAAAGTTCTGTCCAAATCCTTATTTTTATCTCCCTGCAAAACCAACAACAACTCCACCCCAGAGGAGGTAAGTGTGTTTTTGTTTCATGAACTGTTATCTCAGCCTGCCGCCTCAAGGGCTTGTTGTCACTTCTGGTGCTTTATTACTGTTGTTATACTTTGCTCTCGTTTCGCTTTTGCCACCGTGCCCAGCCCCCTCCCTCCCTATTTCTCAACCCTTCACCCACCACTCAAGCACGAAGAAATGTTACTATCTCCAGCCTCATCACTTCCCTCTGCCACACACAGCCTCCCTCACCCTCATCACTTCAACCAGAGTACAAACACAGGGGTGCAGCTCCAGCAGTACAGCTGTCAGGGGTTTGAATCACTGTGTCCTGTCTCCTGGGAGGATAGCCCTAGGCGTCTATCAGGCTACCAACAGCATTCAGAAGAGGTCTTTCTCCAACCCCTTCGCCCACCGGGGCTGAGCAGATAGGGCTCATCCACGCCCTCAGCCAACGGGAGCCCAGAAATTACAAGTCTGAAGGAATGACGTGATGAGTTACTGTAGCAAGCAAGGGAGCTCTCAAATCCCAATTTCCACCCTCTGCTGTGTTAGACATTTCAGCCCATGCAGACTGCTTTGCACAGTCCCTGCATCCCTGCGACTGTATACCACGAACCTGCTTTCCCAAAAAGCAACCCTGTGCTCTGCACTGGACACGAGTGCTATGGGTGCACGGACTGTGCCTCATCGATCGTGCCCCTGCACGTCTTCAGAGACTGGCAGCACCTTGCCCTTCTCTCGAAGCTTGGCTAAACATTAGGTTTAGGCAGAGGGCTGTAAACAAATGGTCTGAATTGCTCTTGCAGACCCCAGGAGATCAACTGCACCCACAGTCCCACTGAAGCAAGGAAGCAGGTGGCTCAGCTACTCCAGACTACTGCTTCCAACGCCAGCGCCTCCCCTACGCCAGAGTCTCTGATGTAGCACGCAGTAAGCACAGCAGCAGTCCAAAATGTTAAATCTAACTGCAAAGCCCCATGAAGTTAACACTCTGCAGGGCTTCTCATTCACTGGCCCAGGTAGAGAGAGATGTGCCAACATGATTAAGCTGGCTAATTAAGCCATCCAGGGGGGAGGAGAGTCAGAAATTAATCTGTGCTAAGGAGCAATGGCCTCCGAGATAGAATCAATAGGAGGAATCCACACAGAGACAAGAAACAGATATTCCTTGACATGAAGAAACATGTGGCAACAAAAAAAGAGTGATGCAGCTGAAAAGGAATCCATCCTTGGTGTTTATACATAACAAAATGCTGAGCAAGAGATAGCACTATAGTTAGCAAAGCCAGGGAAGCTGCCACTCAGGCACGGAAAGTTAGAGAGGTTATTTCAATCAAGACGGTTATTTGAATCAGAGTCAAACACAAGAGGAGGCTGACAAGAACAGTCTCGGTACTAAGAAAAAAGGATTTCATAGACGTCAGTGGAAACATGAGAAAACTCACAATGGCCACTCATATCACTTGCCTGAATAACGTCAGAAAGGAACTAGAAGTGTTTTTGAAACAAAACAGATTTATGTAGGACAGCTGATACCTCAGGCTACTTTTTGTTGTTGTGTTAGTTCAGAAGAGCTAAACTAACTGTTCCTGCACAGCTGTTATGGTCATACTCTTTCCTGCCATTCAGCAGTAGCACCTGACAGAGCAGGCAGCTCTACCCAGCAAGCACATGAGCACAGAGCCAGGGCTCCTGTGGTTCTCCTGTATGGGTTTGTGTGGAGCAAGCCAGAAATAGTCACAAGACTGTCCTACAAGTTAAGGGGTCTAACAAACCACAGACCCCCGTCTTCACTCCTGCCTCAAGGGCAAATGCATGCTTTTTAAAAAAAAAAAAAAAAAAAAGAGGTTCATAGCACAATTTGGGCTGGAAGGGACCTCAGGAGGTCTACAGACCAACCTCTTGCTCAAAGCAGGGCCAGCTACAGGACTGGATCAGGTTGCTCGGGGCTTTATCCAGTCAGGTCTTGAAAACCTCCAAGGATGGAGGCAGCACAACCTTTTGGGGCATCCTGCTCCACTGCCGACTGTCCTTGTGGTGAAAAAGGTGACATTTTTTCTTATATCCAGCTGGACCAAGTTCTCTTGTTTCAATTTATGCCTGCTGTTTCTCATCCTTCCACCATGCACCGCTGTGAAGAGCCTGGTGCTGCCTTCTCAATAACAACCCTGCAGGTAGGGGCAGGCTGCTATGAAGTCCCCAAAATAATCTCTTGCTTATGCTGAACAAGCCCCAGTCCCTCAGTATCTCCTCAGAGAGTGAGTGCTCCACCCCTTGATCATCCTGGTAGCCCTTCCCAGCACTTCCTCCCATTTGTTTATATTTTTCTTGGACTGGGGGCCTCAAAAATGAAATCAATAGTCCAGAGGAAGTGTAACTAGCGCTGAGTAGAGGGGGCTAATCACTTCCCTAGATCTACTGGCCACAATCCTGAAAGCTCGTGGCCTTCTCTATGGCCAGGGCACTCTGCTGTCTCATGCTCAGCTTACTGCCCACCCACCTTTCTGCCCACCCATCCCATCAGCCCCAGCCTCTACCCTGCAATTCCTTCCTGGGCACAGGACTTGGCATCTGTGGTTGCTGAATTTCCTAAGGTTCCTGCTGGCCCATTCCTGCAGCCTCTCCAGGTCTCTGTGGATGGAGGCCCTGCCCTCATGCAGGTGTCCCCTATTTGATGTCAACTGTAAACTTCTCAAGTGTGTACTCCAGCACCTATTGATAAAGTTATCACAAAGGACTTGTTCCAGGACAGACCCTTGTAGTACTCCACTTCTTACCAGCCTCTAGCAAGAGTAACCAGGATCCTCAAGAGCTGCCATGAGATGCATTCAAAAGCATCCCAGTGGCATGAAATCATCTCTGTGTTACCTGAGTTATGGGCTAGCAGGTCCTAATATAAGTTAGGACAGCTGAAGGCCACCAGGATACTAAGACAACATATGGGGATAGCAGAAGTACTTCAGTCATGCCTCATTTTCCTTCTGCAGGCTCACTGCACTGACTTTATGGGAGGTAGCTCATGACTTGTTCATTTCAGGGTGGTTCTCCTGTCACCACCAGACCACTGCTCTCTACCATCCCAGCCCAAGCAACCACCATGACTTCCAGACCAAGACTTCTGTTTGCATTCCATGAAGTTAGACCCTGTAGCTGAGGTTAAAAGAAAGCATCATTGTCATTTTCACACAGATGGGAAAAGTCTTGCAAGAAGCATTGGGAAAAGAGGACAAATGTTTCAAAGGCCCCATCTCCCACCTGCTAATAAGTTAAAGCACCCTCATGCCCCTGCCTTACACTTTACAAAGCCCTTCTAAACGCTAAGAGACAGACTAAACACATCAGGAAGCATGATCATTTATCAACATGTGTGAGACTGACATTGGAGGCTCTTCAAAAGAACATCATACTATTCACCTGGACCCAAAGATAAAAATTCTTAAATACTTATTTTATAAAAATGCATCTGGAAGTAATTTCAGCCTAATGAGTCAAAGGCAAAACCATGTGTAAAATAATAAGTGGCATGGGGAACAATTAATACTGAAGTTTGCCTGAAAAGATTACATTTATGTTTCTACCCAGTCTCTTGAGGCTTGCAAGTTAGCAGCCTGTTAAAAAAGGAAAGTTGGGTTGGATCTGAAACTTTTTCTGCTTTCAAATGTGGCTTTGCCCTGCTTCCTACGGAAATAAGGCTTATATGATTGCAGGGACTCTACACAGCGTGCCTGCATGTGCATTTGTGTCTGTTCTCCCCTAACCACTTCTGAAAACACTGTCAGACTTGGATAAGGGATAAATGAGCGCCAAAGACTCTTAACTTCCTACCAGTTTTATGAAAACAAGGGGCCAGACAAAAAAGAGAACCCATTAGCACCCTGACTTGGGGGAGAGCTTATTATCTCACCCCTTTTCAGATATCAGAGAATCCAGATGGGAGGCAGACGTTGCAAGTCAGACGTCCACAGCTCTGCTGCTTGCAGGACCACTTCTTATCAGTTGCTACACGGCTGTTCTAGTCTGCAGACTATTTGTAACAAGACAGATCCGCTCCCCCCAGGGCCCTCAGCTCCACCTCTGCATTATATACCATTAGTGCAGCCCTTAGCACTCTGTGACCACTGTGCTAGGCACCGAAGAAACAAAAGCAGAGAAGACCTTTAATCTTTAGTAAGTCAGGGGGCAAGGGGGACACACTATATTTGCAGCACATCATTTGTACCGCTAAAAATGTCACTCTAATATGAGATGAAAAGACTTCGCTGCATTAACATCTAAAAATGTTCTTTTTCCATTAATCACAGACTAAAATCTGCAGCTTACATTTCCTACCTCAGATCTGCCAAGTTTTTTCCCAAGGTGAAATGAGCAGAGGACTGAGAGTTTTTGAGTTTCATTAAAAATGCAGAAGGCAGCGGAACAGACATTTCTGGCTCTTTGCCAGCTACCCTGGAAGAGCCCCCTTGCCCCCCAGCATCTTCTAAACATTTCCAAAAAAATACAGAGTGTAAAGAAACACCAGGATGCTTACCTGCATAGGACGAGACAGGGGAGATCTGTAGGGGGTACAGCTGGCTCATGCTGAGGGGCTGTTCGTCGCTTTCTGTTGTCACCTCTACTACCTGGCAAACATCAGGAGGATTGGCAACTATCACCTGCTCCTCGCTGCTGCCATCAAGGTGCGGCTGTCCTACAACTTGGGGTTAGAAATAAAAAATTGATTACTCGTAACACCTCGACCCTGCTGCATCACTAAGAGCCTGTCCTTGGAGCCTGCTTGGTATTAGAGTGAGTCCTCAATACTGTCTCAGTGCTTTCTTCCATGCCCACCACCTGCTTTCAATGGTAATTCTAAAGGAAACCTGTGTGATTTATTTAGTTTCCATCACCTTCAGAGACATTTTTTTCCCCACTTGCGATGACTGAAAATGCCTAACTCTCCCTGGGCTCTCACACATAACGTCCTTGAGCCCTCCTTGACATACTAGCTGTCCAGAGGCTTTCCCAGGGAAGACCACAGCCACACTTCTCCTCCATCCAGAAACCTGGTCTCACCAGGACATACAGACCATAGCAATCTCTCCTAATCTGGGAAAGCATGCTCACCCAGCAAAGCTGCCCACATCCCATGGCCTCCGGATGCTCTCATGTAAATTATGCACCAGAAAACCAGAGCTGGCATGCAAATAAACAGCCACACGGTCATGTAAAACATGGTGGGACTCTGATTTATACATGATACAAATCTGTGAAAAATTTCTCCTCCAGTTAGATGCTTATTCTCACTGATCCTTGCAATGCCAGTGATGGTATGTAGAAAAGCACAGTTGTACCTGTAGTCTGTAATCCTCATGGTCTGTGACTGAAAGCTACACTCTGGTTAGTTATTAACAGAGCGGTTTCCTATTCCCCCAGGCACATGGTATTTCATACCAAAGGAACATTTATTTCTACAAAGTGAAGGCACCATGGATGCTTTGCAAATGTCTTGAAACGCTTTGCAGTCATTAATTGTGCTACACAACATCCTTCTGAAACAGGGGAATAAACCAAAGTACCAAGAAGTTACTGAGCAAAGCAAAACTATGGTGAAAGCCAGAATCTCACTTCTCTGGAGCTGCTTGAGACAATTCCCTCTGTCTTGTACAACTCCCCTGTCGATCTCAGCAGGATGAACTGCATTAATCCAGCATGGAACTGAAAGCCACTAGCTAGATTTGAAGAGCACACAGGGATGGAGCTGCCTCAGAGGATGGCTAACCTGAATCCACAGTTGTCCAAGAGAAAGTGAAGGACTATAGATACTCTTTCACTGGAACCCAAAGCTTGAAGAGGAACAGTCTTCATACAGACAAATTCTGTACAAACATGGTGCTGTGTTGTTAGAAGTTCAGACAGTACATTTTTTTCTATACCCACAATGGGGAAAAAAATGTAGGCACTGAGACACAGTAGGTCTTGAAATTCTTCTGTTAAGTGACCTAATTACTCTAATTATTAATTTTTAAAAAGGCAAAAGATAGTATCTATTCCTGGACGAACTAAGATAAATATACATGAATGCACATGTATATACACACAAGCCATTCTTGCCTTCTATCTCTAGACAGGGCTAGACCACAACTTTTTGAAAAAGTGACAGGTTTTTCTCCCAGAGAAAAGCTGCATATCATCTTGCTTTGTGAAGTGCCAGGTAACCGCTGGAAAGCCCCCGAAAGCTGGATGTATATTTTATGAGACAATTCCAGCATAAAGAAAATCACATAAATAGAAGATAGTATTTTCTTTTTTAGAAGTTGAATCACTACAATTACTATGATTTTGTTCCCGATATTTCGTTTCCACTGTATTTCCATCTTTCCTGGTTCTCAAAACAACCTGCTTTTTATTGAGTCCGGTGCAGGGGGCAAGAGCACGCACACATACAGGGTTAATTTTTATCTGGGAGAAACCAATACTGTGCAACCCCATCAGGGTACGAGCAGGCCATCTGCACTGTTTTATCTTTCTCCTCAATACCTGACGAATTCTTACCCACCCTGATAGATAACCTGCACAGAAAAAATTACTGCTCACTTGGGCAATATGCCACCACTTTCCCGTGAGCTGCACGTATGTCAGAAACACTGCAGGTGCTGTTTGTCTTTTCTCCCTTCCAGCTGACTTCCCTCCTTTCTGCAGAACAGATCTATTTTACCCTTTTCCCCCTGTTTACATTAAAAACCTGCTTGCAGTCCTAAATAAGGACTTCTCTCTCCAGTCTGGATAAGCAGCACACTTCACAAGCCATTAATTAAACAACACTGGATGACAGTTACCCACTCGAGCCTTGCTGTCCTACCCCTGAAAATGGATTCTGTGAGTCCAGAGAAAAATGAAAGCCCTTAAGGTGCAAATTCAGTTCTGTTCCTCTGAACCTCTTGCTTGGTTTCCATGACAGACCTTTGACCATTTTTAGATGTTGATGTTGCCACTATGGGTCCTGTCCTGTAAATCACTGAGATCTTCTAAGGTGCAGCATGCATTCATCTCATCATAAAATCAAACAGGAGTTCAGGATACACTGTACTGTAGAAAACCGAGATTGCAGCAAAATTACTCTCTCTGATGTTAGTGGATTTTGGGGAACACCAGGTACGTTCCAAAGACTCCTGTTAATTGATCTCTGTTTGACTTTAAGACTGTGAAATAAAGCAAAAACTTATGAAATTCTTCCCTGGGACTGCATATTGGCCTTGGTGTGCTTCAGATTTGTTTATGACTCAGTGAGTAAACAGGAAGCACTAACAGCACTACAGTGCTATTCCTTCAAGTTATAAAACCCTCTGTAATAGTAGGAGCAACAATCATCTTCTAACACTCTTACAAAGCAACTGCTGATTAAATGAACTGCCACAAAGAGAGGAAAACTACTCACAAACTCCTCAGCCACAGAAGTACTTGAGGGGAATGACTATGCAAAGCCCTGTGACCTAAGACGGGCATCAAAAACAGTCACTGCACAGAATTTCTGCCATCTCTCCAAACAGAAGACTAACATGTTTTTCAAATGCTTTTCCGACACATATAAAAGTGGAATTCTAGAGAAAATGGTATATGGGTCACATTTGAGGAGCCCTAGCTGCAGTGACAACCTCAGCCAAAAAAAGAGCTGTCAAAAACCAGCCCAATTATTCTACCAAGAACCAATTATTCACATGCTGAGATGACAGCTAATTCCTCGTGTACCAGTTTCTACATGCAGTCTTTGCTGATCCGTGTTGTTAGCTCAGTGATGTTAAGAACTAACGCTGCTACTGAGGTGCCGGTAAAAAGAACCAAGTTCCTCCATTTCATCTGCAGGTTTAAACTCCCAAATAAAATGGTACCCTATACAAATCTCTGCTTTGAGCAATGGGAAACTGCCATCCAACCGCTGTTTAACTTCTAAGTGACACTGGCTACAGTCTCCTCATAGCTAAGGACTACCCAACAGCATCTTCAGTTCTGGTGGGAAGTGGGAAATGAGGAGCAACTTAAATACTTAAAGGGAGGGTGCCAGGGGGATGGGAACAGTCTTTCTTCAGTGGTGCCCAGTGACAGGACAAGAGGGAACAGGCACAAACTTGAACACAGGAAGCTCCATCTAAACATGGGGAGGACCTTCTTTCCTTTGAGGGCGGCAGAGCACTGGCAGAGGCTGCCCAGAGAGGCTGTGGAGGCTCCCACTCTGGAGACAACCAAACCCCGCCTGGACGCCGTCCTGTGCAACCTGTTGTAGGAGATCCCGTTCTGGCAGGGGGGGTTGGACTGGATGATCTCCAGAGCTCCCTTCCAACCCTGACCACTCTGTGATTCTGTGATTGTAACTGTGGTGTTCTCCGAAGTGCAAAATGCCGATGGAAAGCTGAGTTTGGCAGTCAAAAGGGTTTCTGAAGTCACCTGTATGCTTAGCATGTAAGAAAAGCATAGAAGTACTTACCTACGAAGTTCACTGTACTGTCAACTTCATTTTTTATACTGGAGGACAGGAAATAGTCAGAAGTGACATCATTTAGCCCGTTAATCCCAAAAGATGATTCAACTGGCTCTTGCTAGAATGAAAACAGTACAGTTGGGTCAGGTTTGATTTATTTTAGGAGCCTGGACTCAGTTCATCTCTTTGTTCTGAGACAGTAATAAATCATATGGCTTCTGCCTACCATACACCCCCTGCTCTCTGCTAGACACAGTCTTAGAACAAGTATTTTGGTTCTCTGAGAAGGAGCCAGAGTCTACTCCATTTCCAAATCTCCTGCTTTGAAACGAAAGCTATTTTTAATTTTCAGATTTAGACTGAGCTTCAGATAGCAAGAAATTAGTGTGTTATTTACTATAAGAGATCAACATTTGGAACAAACAAGGAAGAAACATTGCTTTAAGATGGTACTCTATTTAATGTTCATCCTTATTCCTTTCCAAACTTGCTGTATCTCTTAGTGTTCTCTGAAAGGAAGCCTTAGCTTCTGTACAGCAATTACTAAATTCTAGCCTTAATTTTTCTCTGCAGCAAGCCTGAAAGCAAACCAAAGTGTTTACACTAAATACAGCCTTTTAGATCACATCATAAACATTACCACAGGGCAATAACATTGGGAAAACACCACCTGTTCTACATAGACTAAGCTTTCCACAAGATGCATCTCTGTAGGTCTGGTACACTCGAGTGGGAATCTAAAAAATTCCCTTCAGAATAGACACCAAAAAGTTCAATTCCAAAACCTCAGGATTTCTTTAAAAAGCTATAAACATATTTAAATGATTATCTACAGGTCCAACCTCCTCCCCAGTATTGGTTCTCTTACAGGGTTATCAGTTACAAAGTCTAAAGTCTTCTGCTCTTACTCTGCAAGGGAAGTTCTGCCTCGCTGCTGACCCAGAGACACCCACAGAGAGGTGCAGAGCTGCCAGTTGGCTTTGATGCCACGCCATGCCCATTTTCACTGCGCTAAAGCATTTCAGCAAGGGCAAGGCAAAGGCGAGCCTCAAGATTTGTGGTGCCAGCCCTTCACAGTACTAACCATATGAACCGTTACCACAGGGACAAAAAACTAGGGATGGCGTGACAGGTCTTTCCTGGACACCACATGCTGTAACTCAAACAGAGCTGTCACTTCAACCCAAGTCTGTACCTTCCCAGCCATGAAGGAAGCCCATAATGCAAACACGCACCCTGCCCCAAGGCCCCTCTGCACATTGGAAGGGTGCAAAGTTAGTGCTAATGGTAACTGAGTCTTTGATGAGCTGCACCGGTTGTGTCAACCCGCAGGTCAAAGAATTGGAGAGCTGGAAAAGATAAAATTAGCTGTTATTGATCCACTGAGGATCACTGACTGCAGAGACAGGTTAGGGCTGCACACTGGAGCCCGGACCATCTCGTGTTGTGCAACGCCCCAGCAAACACAGCAGCCCCCATGGGAACCCTGCGCGCGCAGCACCTTGCTCAGCTTTACTGAGGCTTGGTTGCAGGGAAATTTATTTAGTAGCCCCTTTCGAGCTGCAGAAACAAATACGCATCCTGGAACTCGGGTGACGGTGCTGGATCGATGAAGGGACTGGCACAGTTGGTGTTAAATCACCTAGATTTTCAGTGTCCAGATGCCTGCTGGAAGTCTAAGCTAAAAGCATTGGGAAAGTTGTCACTTAGATTTTAAAAAAAAGTCTCAATGAGAAGGATAAATCTAGGATAAGGCAGAAATTAAGCCTCAGGCAGGCAGTTTTCAGACCTTAATTTTGTTTCAAAGGAAAGAGCCTATTTTTATCTAGGTGACTCAAGACACTTACACCCTCCTCCCATTGCTGAGAATTCACATTTTAATGGTGAGACGCTGTTTGCCCCAAAGCCCAGTGGTCAGAGATCTACCTGTGAGGTGGGAGACCTGCTTGCAGCCCCCCCTCGCCTAACACAAAGCAGGGATTTGGGAAAACCCAGGTCTCTCAGGTGCCCTAAGCACGCTGCTCAAGCTCAGCAAAGTCTGGCAGGGCTCTTCACCACCACCAGCGGTTGCTGTCGGTGCCCACAGGGTCTGCCAGTGGGAACGGGGGGGAGCTCTATGCGAGACTCTTGCTACACTCAAGTCCCTTCATAGATCTGCACTCGGATCCTCAGCTTCTCCCTTTGCTGATATTACCCCATTACCAAGTAGATTGTGGAGCAGCCTCCCACTCACCTCCACTAAAGAGACGTTTTCAGGGTAACTGTAAGGTGTTCAATGCAAAACACTCAACTCGGATCTCAGGAATTCACATCACCAAGGAAAGCGATTATAAGCAGCTTTCAATGCTCAGAAATGTGCATTTGCCTTAATTCATTCACCACCCTTCTCCGCTATTACTGCCTTCAACATTCTATAGTCAGTTGAACAGTAGCTGAGCATAGAAAGGGCATCTATTTTAAAATCCAGGCATATCTGGAGGCCAGATTGTGTACACGTTTGTCAGAATAAGGGGGGACAGGAATACTACCCGGCCCCAGCTCAAAGCCTACAAGAGCTAGGTAGCCAGACCATAGCTGGTGCCGGGTGAGCCGTATGCTCATGGTAGATATCGCTGGTAGGTGCCAGCTCAGCTCACTGCTCCTGTGTCGCCCTGTTTAACACTTCTCTGCAGCTCTGGGCAAGCGAGGCTAGTGGAAAGCGCTCCCAAAAGTTGTGAGTATCACGCCATTGGCACCTACTCCCAGGCCTAACGCCAGACGGACTAATCTCCCAGGCATCACGGACTCCCTCAGCAACGACTATTTGTGAAATTAATCTTAATTGAGAGGACGAGACTGTTCAAGTGCCTCTACAGCTCTTTAGACATTTAATATTTTGACTAAAAGAAAGATTATGAAGGAGGGGAATGGCAAAGTGGTGCTGCCAGCTTTGGCAGGCATCACATGCTGCTCTGCTGTGAGTTTACTGGCTCCTTCTGAACACAGGCCACCATCAGTCACGTTATAACAAGCACACGTGGTTGTGTGATCCAAATAGGATGGTTAAAAAGTGGTTCCTTTAGGACAATTTGAAAATTGCAGTTTTTCGACACGTAACTCCACAAGTCACAACCACTGGGAGAGCGTCTGCCTTCCAAACCCGATTTCAATGGAGGAGGTTTCCCAGGCCTCCAGGTTCACCTGGCCCAGAGCATCTCTTGGCCAGCAGGTGCAGGACCTGTGCCCAGGCGTGGGTGGCACAGCCCTTCACACAAGCGAGCAGCAGGGGACTGAGCTGCCCTTCTGCTGCAGACACGGCTGCCACGTGCGACCCAAGGACACCGACTTTACTGTAGGCTGAAAGCCTGAAACCTTTGCAATTTGCTTTCTGAAAAAAATCAAAGGCGGACCAACCCCTGCTGGTATGTAACACTGACCACCTCGGAGAGGCACTCGGCAGAAGTGTGAAAGTCAGAGAACACCGTGTGTTGTAGGGAATAGCAGTTTGGGTCCACGCTTTGAATAGGCAGAAATCTCAGGCAGTGACCAAGGAGCTTTACAACCGAGACCTTCTGAATTACAAAACACGAGCAGAACACGCAGCTCTGACAAAACCTCTCCTCCCCGCCTGAACGAAAATGAATTTCCAGTGCCTTACACACAGAAATTAATTGCTCCAAAAGGTAGCTCTATTGTTCAGAAGCATTCCTTCCGTAATTACTGTATTTCAACTTACACAGACAAACAAATGGCAAATGTATTGCCGAGGCTGCCAGTTTTCCAACCTCCAGGCGTTGCAACACAAGGGCTGTGTCAACTGATGACGTCAGTCACAGCTCTAACAGCCTTCACGTTTTTTAAAAAAACCCTCAACGCTCAATGTAACTGTAGCTTCTCAACCAAACCACAAGCATGAGAGATTTGCAAATAGCCACCACAATATACTATTGGGGCTATTAAAAAAATTTGCAAGAGATTGTTTTCACAAGCTCTCACACTATTAAACAGCCACTTCTTACCTTAATTTGTTTGAATTTGTCATCCTTCTCGGACTTTGTTTTTTTTCCTGCAACAACAGAAGGAAGATTTCTTAAAGTCCTGTGTGCCATGAGTTATCCTCCACACCTTCTATATTCACTAAGAAATAGACCCAAAACGTGCCTCAAAATGGCAGCACCTCCTAGGAAAGGGAGAACACATTTTGCTTAATTTTAATCCCCGCTTAAGGCCTGGGCAGTCAAAAATTCACCTTGAACACTTTGGCTTTGTGTTTCGCTTTTAAAGGGCTACGTAAAAGAACCACGATGGGGCCGAGGAAAGCAATTGCAGTCAAAAAATCAAGGTGAAAAATATGTAAAAGTGACAAACTAAGCAATAAGGCCCGTTAAAAGCAGAAGGAAGGGGGAGAAAAACAGTCTTAAAGGGAAAAAAAAAAAATCAAAATGTATGTCTCGTCACATTTGTGACAATCTCACTGTAGCAAAAGGGAGCTTGTTCATTGAGCATTGTTCATAGGGAGATTGTTTATTGATTTCATATGTGAAAAGAGATCACAATAAACTCCAACAAATATTTCCGTAAATAGTTGCAACCTGGGGTGGGGGGGAATATATATTATAATTCATGCAAAAGTGGTTTATGCAATCATGCTGGATTTGAGAATCCAGAAAACTGCAAAGCATATGACCCTCACAAAACGTTGTGTGCCTTGGCAGACCCCAGCGCTGCTGCCCCTGCTCTGACCTGATGAGAGCCCGATGTGGAAGCTCAGACTTGCTGGTGCAAGCTCAGCTCTACCCCACTGTTTGCACAGACGTGTCCCAGGAATTTCTCCCATCTCTACTACAAGATAGCACTCAGAATTAAAAATGTTTGCAGCCAAATTCTTTTGCTCTCACTCACACATAATTTTAGCCACGCGCCATGTAGAAAGGGTATGTGAGAATATATACAGAGCCCAAAATATGTCAGAGTTTTACAGTAGTTGGACTTGCTGCAGCATCCTCTCCTGCTACAGCCCCCATCTCCAGAATCTCAGCTTTCATTATGAACTTTGCTATTTCTTACAACTATGAGAAGAATCTGCCACAGGTTATGGTTCAGGGAAATACATCTGAACATACAAGATACATCACTGAGAATAGACTGGAAACAGTTTCAAAGCACATGTTCTACCTTTTGCGGACTGATCTCCCTTTCAGAGTATGATTCTGCCCCAAAAATGCCAGAGTTCATCATTTCCAATCATACTGACCTTAAACTGAAAATGTGCCTTTTACCTCTCAATTTAAGAAAATAGCAAACTGAGCTGCAGGTGAATTGAACTTGATTTTAGAGGAACACCATGCATTTGATTTGCAGGTTATCTTTTTGTCTGAAAATCCTAGACACCAGGGAATACCAGAGGACTAAGGAAGCCATCGTTCTACTCCATGAAACAGTAACAGAGGCATAAGGAAGCCAATGAGCCATAAAGAAGCCAATGTTTCTACTCCATAAGAAACCAAATACTCATGAGATTGACCTGGTTTAGGTCCTCTGCTGGCAGGTGGGAGACCTAATCCCAAAATCTGGGGATTCAAACATAGTTTCCCATTTCAGCTTTCTCATGCTGTGGGGGCTGTTTCTTCACGGCCTAGTGTAGCTACAGAACAAACAAAGTGGTCTCACGGTTTAATGTTCTGAGCAAAAAGCATACTGCTCTCACTTAGCGCAACAGAGCACTAGTTTATTTCAACCCTTGCTTGAAAAAAGATGATAGAATCAAAGAATGGTTTAGGTTGGAAGTGACCTTAAAGATCACCTAGTTCCAATGCCCCCACCATGGGCAGGGACACCTCCAATGTCTGCCACCATAATCTGAATGAGCACTACTGAGTTAAATGCATTGATGTCTAATATCCCCCTAATCATCTTCCTTGACTGATGGAGACCCAGGACTAGCATCTGAACACAACTCCATTGGCTTTAACAGAACTAACACAATTTACACAGATCACCAGCTTGAGGGTATCGTATCTCATTGGTTATCTCTCCAAGCGGCTTGTTCTCTTAACTGAATGCAGCCCATTTTTCATACGGGTGTTCCTAAGTTCTGGGGAACAGCTGGATAAAAATGTCCAGCTTCATAGCAGAAGTAGAACTGGCACATTCTGAGGGCCCCCAAAAAATAACAATGCCCCCAACACCATTTTCACGTTGACAAGTTCTCCCCTCTACCTTTTTTGGAAGGTCTTTCAGATAATGGCAGCATCCGGTACACCCTGAAGGCATTGTTTCCTTTCTTTATACTTTTGTCCTTCACTTCTTCTATGTCAGGCAGAGAGTTCATAGCACAACGGAAGTTTGCCTTCCACGTCTTTGGATCGGGTTTATCTACTCCTGACTGGTATTTTCCTAAGCAAGAAAAGAAAGTTAGGCACACATGACGCGTAATTGAAAACCTAAGGAGAATTAATAGCAGTGTAGGTTAACTTCAAGGTATCAGCCTTCGGTTCCCATGACAAGCATTCAAACAATAGCTGAGGTTGCAAGAGAGAGTGTTGTGATCTCATTCCCATGCACATTTCTAGAACACATGATGAACAGTTTCTGCTCAAGAAAGACCCAGGGCACTGCCAATCAGATGTGACTCCACAACAACGTGGAAAAGCTTGCACAGCATTTACCTTTATTGTGTCTGGCTCAAATCCATCGGAAGGCATAAAAAGCCTAAGGGCCCAAGTCTACAAAGTGCTGAGCATGCTCTCCTCCTGACAATTTCGAACCCAATCTTGTTAACGTTTAAATCAATTAAGTTTTACTGTGTTCCTCAATGCAAATGAGTTACGGCACTTCAATAAAGCTGGAGAGTATTGCAGACCTTGAAAAAAGTACTTAGCCTCCCACAAATTTAGGAACTTAAATTCAGTCTCTGTTAGTAAAAGCAAAGACAAGAAAGAAAGAAAATGTAACTTTAAAAGGGAAAACAATGCGAAAATCTATCCTGCAGTAGGAGAGTTCCAATACCTGTGTGAATTGCCCAGTTTCTAAATAAGGGAGCATCTTTTTCAACATCCCACCCATGTCTTGCGGCATGCATCCAGGGAATCTGAAAAATCTTCTTCTCCTGGAAGGGAAAACAAACAGGAAATGCCAACACTGATTGACTCAAGGGATCTTCTGATGACTTTAAGTCACTTATTTAAAAACACAGTTCCAGCATCTGCAAGTGTTTTGCTTTCTTCTAACCCAGTGCCGCTGTCATTGAACTCAATAGGAAAATATCTACTGGCGTCACCAAAAGCAGAATACAGCCCTAAGTATATGAAATACTCAGATGCCCCTTCACGGATGATGAGCCTGGCGGCTTTCCAAGCTGACACATGGGTAAAACATGCAGTGTTACACATTTCTAAACATTCAAAGGCAGGCTAGTTTTGGCAGCACAGACACTTTCTTGATTGGAAAAATTAGATATGAAACTAAACAACCACAGGAACAGAGCAAACTCAAGGGATTTAGAATTTAGACAGTAAAACACTAGTACAGTGAAGGAAAAGGATCTCTCAAACTTACATGCCAAGCAAATGGACATATGAATATATCAACTGGAGATATCTCTCCAGTGCAGATAAAAACTACAGAACACACATGTGAAGGGGTGGCATTGAAGACAGTTGAACGTATTTTAGTTTAGAAACTTTAGGCCAAAGAGAAGTGCATGTAAAGCAATCCAAAGGAAGGCACTTTTAAAATTATTGTTTTAACACACAACACATAGTTAAACCAGGGCATGCCTTGTGTGCTGGAAGTATGAACTGATTCTCAAAGGGATCAGAAAAACTCATGGAAGATGGTACACTGGTGACTATTAAAGATGATTAAAAATGGGATGCAGCTCCAGCTCTGGGAGCCCAATGGCTTTCAGAGCTTGAACAGCACGTTTCCTATACCCCTTCCACAAGCACCTAGCACACAGGATACTGGGCCAGATGGATGCTGGGTCAGATGTGCTTTTATGTCATCCAACACAGGAACGAATTCCTATGTGCTGACCTACAGGGCTGCTTCAGAACTCTTCGTGTTCATTTCTGCAAAGCCATACAAAAGGAGTTTGTTCTGCCATGCTTGGTTTTCCTCCCGTATTGGGGGGAATACATCTTATCTGGCTTCACATGCAGACATCTTGCACTACAAACACCTCCACTACAGATTGAGATCCACTTCTCAGTCTGTGAAGCGAAATTCCAGGGCAAAATGCACCCCCTCCTGAGGTGGCCACCTGAGCTACGCCAACTGAATTGCACCCTAAAAGAGCCTATTTCTCTCCATTGACTACAAACAACTCTAGACAGGCAGCTCTCATTTAAACGACTACATCGTGGATGTCTGTGGTCGGGAGAGATGTATCCTTTGCCCTTTCCCCTTCCTCCAACAACCACTTTTCTTCCTTGTCTGTCTGGTTAATATTTCACTAATGTCAAGGTTAGGTCTATTTCCCTTCCTTTCCACGTGATCTCTTCTTTTTTGAGCCCGCGTTTTGTATCGTCCTTCAACTCTTGTCTTCAATCCTTTCTCTCATTTACATCCACTTGTTCAGAACTGCATTATTCCCTTCTTGCTTGGCTTCACCTTTGGCAGCAATAAATCTGTTGTGGTTTAGGCTGGGCTGGCCACTAAACAAACGACAGATGCTCTCTTTTAACCTCTCTCTCCCTTCCCAGAAGACTTATGGGTTGAAAAGAAACTAAAACTACTTTAATGAAATATTAATAATAAAAATAAAAGATAATAATGTCAGAAGAAAATTATGAAATATATACAATAGATACAAAACCAGTATTGAGCTCCCAGGATGACAATCACGTCACCAGCTGGCACTGGGAAAGTCCCAGACTGGACTCAGCAATAGACAGGAACTGGATTCAGGAACACACAGATGAGGATCAAAGGCAGACAAACAGACAAAGTCCTCCTCGGATACCAGCCATTGAAGAAAAGAGGCTGATCCCTTTGATCCCTCAGCTTTTATACTGAGCATGAGGCAGATGGGACGGAATACCCTGTTGGTCAGTTTTGGGTCACCTGTCCTGTCCACTCCTCCCCACAGGTGTGACCCCTCTACACTTTTCTGCTTCCAACCCTCCAACGGGGCAAATAACAAAGTTAGCTGGCCTTGGGTGTTACAGCAATAAGTGTAAGCAAGAGCCTCTCTGCATACCATTCCGTGGTATTAACTGTAAACATCAGGCCTTATCACTTTGGAAGCAGACACTGTCTGAAAAACATGCAATTAATTGCAGAGAGTGCAGTTAGCTAGAAGAGACTTAACTGAAAAAAATTATTGAAAAGAAAATTAGTTCTATTCTGTCTCAAACCAGGACACCTTTAATTTGGTGAAAGCACAGATTGAACATGTTTCTCATTCCCCTTCAAGCCCTCACACTCTAATCCTTCCTCTTAATCTATTCCCATCACTTCTCTCACGTGCCTTTTGCCTCCTTACTCTTCCCCTTCTACACAGTTAAATCATCCTACAGAGATGCTCTCCTCTTTCCCCAAGTAGAAGGGTCTAAAGAGAGCCTCAACCCCACTATCCTGTGGTCCACAGAACTACTGTATTCGTCAGAGCTAGAACAAGCTTCCTTGCCTTTACTCTCCCATACACTATCATGAGCATGGAAAAAAAATTCAAACTTCCACAGAAAACAATTTCTATCACCAAGAACTTTAACAATTGACCAGATTAAAAAGTATTCTCATGGTTGGTGATGGGGAGGGGCTGGCACAATGCTACACAACGCTATGGAGGTTATATCATGGATTTCATATTCCTTATGATAATTCAAAAAGTTCTGTAGACTAGCAGACCGAACAAGACTCCAGACATAGCATCCTGTCATCATCAGCCGTACTCACTGCTCCAAAAAAAGGCTCAAGGACACTCTCAACAGCAGTCTAAGTGTTCGTTACAGTGTTTCTGCCCACTACAAAAAGTTCTTCCCAATCTCAGATGTCTTGAAACACATGGTTTTATAGCAAATTGTAATACAAATAACAAGATCATAGAATCCACATGTATTGTAACTTTATAATACATATATAATTTTACATACCTATATGGAAACTACAGATTTTGTCATCAACTATCAAATATCTAATCTTCTCTGAAATCCCGCAAGACTGCAGATTGCACCAATACCATGTGGTTGTGTGTTCTGCTCTAGTTTGCCTAGATGCTTTCTATTTAAATGCTAATTTTTTATTTCACACATTATCAAACATTTACCTATTTCTTTCTTCAGTTGATGCTTCCTAATAATGACCTTAATAGGAAAAGGCATATCAGTGCTTAGACTGATCTTAGACTTTGAAAACCATGTGCTGTCTGGTACAGCACTCCATCACTGGACATTTTAGCCTCACCTAAAGTCAAAAGTACAACCCACAAAACTTTTACAGCATAACAGGAATTGCTGCCAAATTCCAGTGGGGACATGAAAAGGAAAAAGCTGACACATTCTTAGAAATAGGCAGGAGGAGGAAAATACTATCAAACGCTTGCAAGCCTAGTGTTGCAAAATGCTCCAAGCAGGTGAATGAGCATGAGATCACATACTAGCTGGAAAGCCATAGGACAAATTTTAAATAGTGGCATCTGTCTGGAGGGTAATACTTCAAGCATCCATCAAAGCAGCAGGTTGCCTCTCGACTCCCGTTACAGCTACTCTGAATGTTTCCACTGTAATTTCCTTTTCCAGATCCATGAGGGATACTGACCTCTCCTTATCCCCCTCCTCACACCACCTCTGCCCTCTACTGAACTATGTAATTTCCTTCACACCTCCCAGTTTTGTCTCTCTGGGAGG